CATCGGGGGCATGCGGTAGCGTAGTTGGTTGAGGCACTATGCTTCAAACCGGAAGGTAGCGGGTTCGATTCCGATGAGGTCATTGGATTTTTCAATTCATCTAATCCTTCCAGCCGCACTATGGCCCTGGAGTCGACTCAGCTTCTAACAGAAATGAGTACCAGGAATTTTCCTGGTGTTAAAGGGCGAGTGGCCGGTGCATAAGGCTGACAATCTCACCGCCATCTGTGAGCCGATTGTCTAGAAAATGTGGGAGCCTTTAAGTCTCACAATCCTATGGGCCTCCACGGTCTGTCACAGGGACATCTTCCCCTTTCTACGTTTACGCTTCCAAACCTGTCAGAACATAGGGGATAGCACCGAAATTAAAAGCAGGAAGTTAACCGTTAATTTTTAATTGGGAAGTGGGACGACTGAGACCGCTGGTACGCCGGTCACTGCTGGGCCTGTTCTACCGGCCTCGGATGACGATAAAGAGGTGAGTGTGCAGTGGAATGAGAATTTGCAGGGGAAACCGAGGTAGGTATTCAGAGAAAACCCGCCCTTGTGCCACTTTCGTAATGTAAGGTAAAGTTGCCCCTGTGCTTGAAGGCGTATGGGGGAGTGACTGTATAGACCCAAGCCCCCGGTACCCATTGGATAGGAGGTTGGGTGAGCCCCAGAGCCGGTCTGGACGACGTGGAGAAGAGAGAATTCCTGTGGCCATTCTGTTCACACTGATGCTGGTAAAGACTAGAGACTACAGACGAGCGCACTGAGATTGCTGACACAGGTCAGAGGCGGTTGGGGGAAATGTAACAGAAGTATAGAGGGGGAGGGGGAACCTCCCCACCATTCACGGGACTGCTCTCCGTGGTCTTAATATAATAACGCATGTTGAGCAACTCGTGTAACGACTAGGAGAGGTACGGGAACGAAGCTTCGTCGCACGGACGAACGGACGAGATGTTAACGGATTAGGAAACAAAGTGCTTTGGGATGTGGGCGGAGCCGACGGCGGTGCTGCATCCGATTCAGTTACGCTGGGCCTATAAATGGGCCAGCCAATAAACACACGAGGTGCTGAAGTAACGTGGGGCCTCGCCCGTGCCACAGTTCAGGTGGTTGGTCGCCGGCTTCCCACTGCGACGGCCCGGGATCTAGCCCAGGTCAAGTCATGTGGGATTTGTGGTGGACAAAGTGGCACAGGGGCAGGTTTCCTCCGAGTACTTAGCTTTCCCTTGCCAATTCTCATTACTCGTCTATCATTCGGGATTGCTACGGACAATTAGTGGCCGAGGTATCAAGTGGACTCAGCCTCACCCTACTCCATGAGAACTTAAAAAAAAAAGATTCCCGCCCCTGGTGTCACGTTGCCAGATGGTCTGGTAGGGGATCAACAAAATGGCCTGTGGACAGTTACTTTTTATTTTTTTATTGTTATTGGGGTGGGACTAAGTCCCTTGTACTGCGGCCACTTCTGGTCTATTGTACCAGCCCCAGATGATAGGTGAGGGTGATTGTGGAGCAATTGGTGGAATGAAGATTGGCAGGGGAAACCGAAGTACTCGGAGAAAACCTGCCCCAGCGCCACTTCGTCCCCACAAATCCCACTTGACCAGATCCGGGATCGAACCGGGGCCGCCGCGGTGGGAAGCCAGCGACTAACCGCTTGAGCTATGGCGTGGCCGGGCAGTAGACGACTGACTGACTAACGAAAGTAAACAAAGAGAAGCCAAATTATCTAACTCTCTGCTAGCAGACCTTAGGTTCAACGCCAACAATGGGGACGATCCTGAGCAAGTTCAGCCATCTCCCATTCTGTGTGTACTCCATGTCCCACACATCCGAAGCTTAAGCCTATATCCAACCCATCGCAGCCTCCTACAGTTCACTAGCTACATGACTGCCGTGGCGTGTACAAATCAAAACATTCCTCGTTATGTAATATCCTCAATTGCTCGCTTGCTTCATCCTGCTTACGTACAAACATGTTCTTGCTCGCTCTGTGTTCAAACACACCTAACCTGTCTATTTGCGCCATACCTCAAGCGGTTAGTCGCTGGCTTCCCGCCGCGGCGGCCCGGGTTCGATCCCGGGTCTGGTCAAGTGGGATTTGTGGGAACAAAGTAGCGCTGTGACAGGTTTTCTCCGAGTACTTCGGTTTCCCCTGCCAATCTTCATTCCACCAATTGCTCCACAATCACCCTCACCTATCATCTGGGGCTGGCACAATATGCCAGAAGTGGCCGCAGTACAAGGGACTTAGTCCCACCCCACTAGCAATATAAAAATAACCCTATCTATTTGCAGTTTTCATTGCAGAGGACCACACTTTACATCCGTAGAAGGGAACTACCAAACTAGCTTGCGTGGTTTCCCTCTGTCACTCCAAATTGTATTTTAACTAACTTCATGGAGCTGAGCCATAATTCAGAAGCTGCCAATTGTGCAGCTACTCAAGAATTTCCCAGAATTTTATGGAACCCGAAGGTTCATTACCGTGTTTAAAGATCCTTCCACTGGTCCCTATCCTGAGCCAGAGGAACCCAGTCCATACCACCCCATCCTCTCTGTCTAAGATACATTTTAATATTATCCACCCACTTACGTTTTGGTCTTCCCAGTAGTCTCTTTCCTTCTGGCTTTCTCACCAATATCCTATATGCATTCGTCGCCCCATTCATGCTACATGCCCTGCCCATCTCATTATCCCTGACTTGATCATTCTAATTATACTTGGAGAAGACTACAAGTTATGAAGCTCCTCATTACGCACTTTTCTCCAACCTCCTGTCACTTCATCTCTCTTCGGTCCAAATATACTCCTGAGCAAATTCGATTATAATACTTGGAATTACATCAAGAAGACTTCCTTCCACACCCTTTAAAATTCATTCTCCACTATCACCGTCCCATCTCACATTATTTCTTTTTTAGCCTGTTACAGCATCGTGGAACAAAGCATAAACAAACACAAGAATATGGGTATCTACGTAGCTCAAGAGGGCTCTGGTCTGCTGCGTCATGCAGCTTGTGACAGAACAGGACAGATCAGCTGTGTAAAAGGACCCTGTCTGCCTCAGACCATGAGAGCAGATCCCATCCTGCGGATGATACCGAGACAAATCTATGCCAGATGCTGACCATTCACCTTCAACTAGCGCCGAGGTCAAGAAAATGTGGATCTATACATCCACTCCCCCATATGTTTTCCTGGCGTTGTGCTTAATTAATCACAGAGGCAACAACAAAGAAGTCATTATTATTACAAAATGTAGCTCTTGTGGTCCATAATTAATTATGCGGTAAAACGTATGACATTTCGATAACAGGCCTGACAATGGCCCATTGCAGTTGTGCCCTCACTGCCAGAGGCAAGGGCCAATTCCCAATGGGTACAGTCACAGGGAGCAAGCTGGGACCGCCGCAAGAGCAACTAAATTAACAAAAGGATGAGAAACTTCTGGAGATGCACCAACAACTGGTTAACCATCTCACAGCTGGGTGTGAGTACTGGAACATCTCACTGCTACGTATTTGGAAGCTTTCTTTCTGATATTTTGCAGGAAAGAGGCAGCTACGCGATAAGCATATGGTTCGCCATCTATTGATACTGTTTGACCAGACAAGCCGCCTGAGACGTCGCTACTGGCTTAGACAGCAATGTACTTCCCACTATTCGTACAGATGTCAGCACTAACTTGTTACTTTCATTATGTATAGGCCGATTGTGGTTACGAGCTACATAGGGAGGAACATATCTTCTGGGACTGTAAACTGTACGAGGACTAAACGGCAACAATGATTGACATTTTGTCTGAGAACAGCAAAAAAGAATACCCAAAATCAGGTACAGAGCTCTTAGGGCTAGAGGAAAAAAGACTTGTGCAAGGCGTCTGTTACTTCATAAACAAAATTCCTAAATTAAAAAAAAAAACAAAAACAAAAACAAAACAAAAAACAAACAAAAAGAAGTATACTCACACAATATTAAAAGTATATTCTTACGGTTAACAGAAATGTTAAAATATCGCGGGGTGACCGCTATGATAGAATAAGATGTTTATAAGAATGTGCTACAGAGGGCAGGATGGGCATTGCCTAGGCCTTTTTTTTGTATTTACATGTATATTTTTTAAAATAATAAGAATAAAAATTAGGTATGCGCAGCATAGCTACACCCACTGTCGTGAGGAGCGGAGAAACTTTCACGACCGATATATACATCTATCTTTACTTAATTACTTGAGTCGAGTACACACAACAGTCATTCCTGCTATCAACCCAAAACGTCCGTAACCAGTCATCTGAACCAGACGCAGAACACCACTCATATTCGTCAGAAGCAACTACGTGGCACCTAGCAGAACACGTTTCTTGCATTTGTTCTTGGGATTCGCTAGGGTACGGTAACGAGATCAACAAAGAAAGCTTCAGCATTCATAATAAATCAGTAATGTATACATTGTTACTTGGGCATTACTGCGCCATAGCTCAAGCGGTTAGTCGCTGGCTTCCAACCGCGGCGCCCCGGGTTCGATCCCGTTTCTGGTCAAGTGGGATTTGTGGTGGACAAAGTGGCGCTGGGGCTGGTTTTCTCCGAGTACCTCGCTTTCCCCTGCCAATCTTCATTCCACCAACTGCTCCACAATCACCCTCACCTATCATCTGGGGCTGGTACAATAGGCCAGAAGTGGCCGCAGTACAAGGGACTTAGTCCTACCCCACTAACAATTACAAAAATACTTGGGCATTAACAGTTTTGATTTTCATATGACATCATTGTAAAACTAGAGTCAGCATTTGTGCATGAAATGATTATATCTGCAGGCTTAACCGTGATATTTGTATGAGTGTAAAGGTTCTTACATTTATATCTCTTGGTTTGTGGGGGGGTGCTGATTCAGAGGGGGATATTTTGAGTTGACCGCTTCTTGCTCACGTAAAACCTATCGGCCGGCATCTAATGCTACTCCGTTCAATTCTACACTTGCAGCTACTAGCTTTCCAGCGTCTACCTGATTCTCTGTTGTTCCTGCATGCGAAGGAGAGCATCTCGTCTAAGCACCGCCAGAATGCGCTGATATTCTCTCATCGTCAGCGGTTCCATCTGTGAACCCGAATCTGGAACCAACAGCGAACCCTATAAATTATATTCATTAAAACGTATAATTAATAAACCAACAAATCAAAACCGAAAAGTCTGGTATAGAGGTATATTTTTGTGTTCGCGAAGTGCTTTATTCGAATCTCTGCCGGCACACCGGTTATCCTGACTGAGGATCCTAGTGGTTTTCTTCAGTCAGCAGAGCTAAATTCCGGAAGAGTATATCGATAAGGCCACAGCAGCTTCCTTCGATATCCTTTCCCATTCAGCAGTCACCAGTCATCCTACCATTCGACGTACAGTCTGAGATACTGACAGCGCCGTAAAGTAGACCATACGCAAAACAAAGTTATCCCTTGGCTTTAGTAAATTATGCACTCCGACATGACGACGTTTGGGGTCGGGGGTGGAAGTACAGCTACATCGTTCTTAAGCTCGGAACTAGATGGAGGTAAGTAGTCAGCTTCACGCCCTTGCCTCTTTACCTCTGGAGAAACAGCTCAGGTAACCAGTGTATAGGTGGGTGAACCCCAGAGCCAGGTCTGGACGTTATAGAGAAGAGAAAAATATCTTGGCTCTGCCCGGAATTGACACCGACTCCTCGGCCATCCCAGCCTGTAACCTACTCGCTATACTGAAATTAGACCGCATAAAACAACACAAATAAAGGAAATGAGAAAATGGCTTAGTAACATGTAAACGTGTTTAAGATAAAGAGGACTTTTTTTAATTCGCTTAGTGGGAGGGTGGAGCCCAATTGGGTCCACTCGGCACGGCGGCCACTGATTGGCCTATTTTAGCCTGCCCCGGGTGGTTACGATGATGGAGAATTTGGTGGAATGAAGATTGGCAGGGGAAACCGAAGTACTTGGAGAAAACCCGCCCCAGGGCCACTTTGTCCACCACAAATCCCACTTGACCAGAGCCGGGATCGACACGGGCCGCCGCGGTGGGAAGCCAGCGACTAACCGCTTGAGCTATGGCGNTCAAGTAAGTACCAGAACAAAAGGAGGGACAATATGATTTAACTGTAACCCTGCATTATGGGCAAAGGAGCGTGGACCAGTAAACTAAATTGTATATTGGAATAACACAATTCACATACGCCATAACCTCTGAGTAAACAAGTCTGAGGACCGAGCCAGCTGTATCCTGTAATAAATTAATCTTCCGCCATTCATGTTAATTTGACATTGACTGATTATGACTCACTTATCCGATCCGTAATGACGTATGCCTTCAGCGCCCTGGGCTACGTTGCTCAGTCGCATTTCAGTATGTTAAAGAAGGGTAATGCTATCCATGTGCATGGGTGTTTAGTGTCCGTGTGTGTTTGTGTACAGGTAGAGGCCTTGCGACGAGCTGATCACCCGCCAAAGGAGTCCTACCGAATGTGTAAGATCTAGTAAACAGAAATGAAACGGAGACCTTCATGGGGGTAGGCCAAGGCCAAAATTAGGGCTCTAGCACCAAAGGTGATGCAGGAAACCAACCCTGTAACAGGCCGTGGAGGCTTATACGGTTTTGTGGCTCCCAAACTTTTTTGACAGTCGCCTCACAGATGGTGGTAAGGTTGTTAGTCTTACACGCCAGCCGCCATTTACCCCCAGGAATATTCATGGCACTCATATTTGTCAGAAACTGAGTCGACACCAGGGCTACAGTGCGGCTGGAAGGATTAGATCAATTGAAAGATCCGATTACCTTATTGGGAATCGAATCCACGACCTTCAGGCTTGTAGCATAATGCGTCAACACTAACGCAGTAAGTTACAGAATAAAATCTTCAACACAGTAATAACGTCGCCAAAGGGAAAGTGGACCCGAAATATCTCCTTGTGACCGTTAAGTCTCCTCGCTTTACCCGTCGAGTGTCCGTATCAGCTGTAACCCATTTCTGTGTGCCGTTATCGCCTGATAGCTTAGGCATGTCGCATGTGGTGCATTTTACGATTCCGAAGGAACTGGTTTTACGTATCATATTTACAGCAGAAGATTCCACAACACTTCAACAGACAAACTTCAATAATTCGTCAACTGTAATATCAAATTTCCCACGCATTCGCAGTGCTATTTTCCATCTTCCCCAAAACTACACAGTAACACTTCAAGGCACAGCAATAAGCATGCCCTATATGAACTATCAACTTTAACGTCAAGAATCTCTGCATTTCGCCAGTACAGATTAATTTGTTAATTTTGTTACGTACTAATATGTTGGTACGTTCGACATTATCAATGCACTGCTTATTAATACCAGCAAATAATTCTTAAGAGATAGCGTAGTTGGTTGAGGCTCTATGCTACAAGCCGGAAGGTCGCGGGTTTGATTCCCGATGAGGTCATTGGATTTTTCAATTGACCTAATCCTTCCAGCCGCACTATGGCCCTGGGGTCGAATCAGCCTCTAAAAGAAATGAGTACCAGGAATATTCTTGGGTGTAAAGGGAGGCCGGCGGGTAAGGCTGACACCCTTACCGTCATCTATGAGCCGATTGTCTAGAAAATGTGGGAACCTCAACATCTCACAACCTTATAAGCTTCCACGGCCTGTTACAGGGATAACTTTACTTAATTTTTTTACTTATGTACTCGTATACTTAGACTTCACTAGCCAAGCCGTAAGTGCCTTATAATCACAGCGCGCTCCGAACTTCCGAGGTGTCAACAAAAACGTTACTTTGTGTAGAAAAGTAAGCCACTCCCTGCGGAGCTTTGAGTACCACTCTACGAAGTCGTAAGGAGGAAGTGGAGGTATAGCTTCATTCATTCATTTTTGGGAATTATTTTAAGGTGCTGTCAGTATCTAAGATTATATACAATCAAATGGTAGGATGACAAATGAATGATGAATTAGAAAGGATTTGGAAGTAAACGGTACCTCAGTACCGTCTCGGCGTTTGCATGGATTAAAAAAACACAAATAACCTCGGTTAGAATAGCTGATGTCCCAGTTGACATTCGAACCGAGGACCTGGCGGATACGAAACTAGACAGTCATTACTATGCCATCCCCCTCCTTCATTCATTCGTAATTTGGACACTAGATGGAGATGAGTGGTCGGATTCACGCTCCGGCTGCTTTAACTCCGGGAACAGAGCCCCAGGTACACATTGGATAGGAGGCTGAGTGTGCTTCAGATCCCATCTGGGCGCTATGTGGACAAAATAATTTCTTCCTCACACCGGGAATCAAACTCTATATCTTCGGTCGTCAAGTCACTGTTTTTTTTTTGTTTTTTTTTACTTTCTTTGGGTGGGGTGACACTGAGTCCACTTGGTACGTCGGCCACTATTTGGCCTATTGTACCAGCCCCCGTTGATAGAAGATGAGAATGGAGCAGTCGGTGAAATGAGAATTTGGAGGGGAAACCGAAGTACTCGAACAATATCTGCCCCAGCGCCACTTTGTCCACCACAAATCCCACACGACCTGACATGGGATCGAACTCGGGCTGCAGCGGTGGGAAGCGGCCCTTAGCCTAATCACTATACCGAGCTATGGCGGCTATGGATTATTTCATGTAGAATCCTGAAGTGCTGTATAATGTTGGGTCTAGTAAAACTAGGCAAGTTCCTACCTGACAACTTTTATCTTTTGTGGAGAAGACAAACATCGCAGCTGCAGGAAGTATTTAGGCCTGCAGATGACGACATGTTAAGTTTACAGAACGGCCGCCCACACCTGTCCGTGTGTGTACAGGTGGTGGTACAAGTGGTACCATGCCGATCGGACTGGTGCGATACAAGTACCGCCTCAGTCGGAAGAAATGCGGAGCGTGCCATGTATATACAATATTGCACATTGGAGTAGATATTAAGTATAACCTTGTAAATAAGTGTACATACTGACAATAGCCTTAATATTACCGAATACGAATTCGTTACGTTATTCGGTAACGTTTTTACTTATCCGTTACCTAGCAACTATAGGAAGATACACATACACACAGACTGATTGGGAGGGATTTATGAAGTTTCAGAAAGATTGGTTCAGCGGTACAGAAGTTGACAGGGGGGATACACAGACACATAGATAACATGGTGATCGCATAAGCCAAACAAAAACAAACTCCGTGGTTTTAGTCCACAAGCGAACTATACCGACCGAGAGACCGCCGTTTGTCAGCGATTACTTTTCAAAAAAAGGAAAGTAGGCTAAGAATAATCTGTGACGACAGAACAGTAACAACAAAACTTGTTGATAATTCGCTATTCATCACTGGCGTAAAATACTAATGAAGAGTTGTGGAATTCCTGGCAAGGGGATTTCATACTTCTTGGAGTACCTGTATCACAATTTGAGAAGCGTTGTCTTAGTCTCTCCAGGAAAATGTTGGAGCATTGTCACAAAGTCACTGTCCCGTTCTTCATAAGCTTCCCCAATTCACACTACCAACCGACGCTGCATAAGGACTGCATTTAAATAATAAAAAAAAAAAGGTATAGCTATCATCCCTGTAACAGGCCGTGGAGGCCCATAAGAATGTGAGACGTCGAGGCTCCCACATTTTCTATACAATCGACTCACAGATGTCGGTGAGGCTGTCAGCCTTACGTGCTGGCCGTCCAGGAAGATTTTTGGTACTCATTTCTGTCTGTGTGTCAACCCTTATGCTGGGATTTTCTTGAGTAGCTGCAGAATTGGCGGCTCTTCAAGAAGGGCTCAGCTCCATGAGTAAGTAAGTAAGTAAGTAAAGTTAGTGTCAGCCCCTACGTTTGCTATCTGTGTCTGTCCCCCCTCCCTAATTTTTCTTTTTCGTTTTCTATGCGTTCAGTGTAGTATCAAAGGGAAGTAGGTGATTAGTTTTAGCCAGAAATTCTTGGTTTGGTGTTACGGCTCAAAGAATTCTCAGAGACAGGCCATTCATCCTGCCTAGAACAAGGAGCGTCGTGACGACGACCCAATGAATGGGGTGGAATACCAGAACGGATGAAAGGACAACAGACAGAAAGGCGGGAGTATGGGGAAATGGTTGACTGGAGGACGACCGGACGAACAGACTGATAATTAGATGAACAGATCGATATATCGAGAAACATGTACCAGCAGCTGGCGGTCAATGCTCCCGTACCGATCACAATGTCATGCCAGGAGAAAGTGTCACCCGCGTCCGTCAGCTGTTCGGACAGCTACCGGTTTGATTCGCCTTTCCCAACACTGTTACCTATACAAGCTGGTGCCTGTGTTTACGAGAGTTCAGCAGATAAATGCAGCAGCGAAACTTTTACTCACTGCGGCAATGAATTGTCGCGTCATGCAAATCGCAAACATTGGAGAATTCATTTTTTTTTTGGTGGGCTTCAGTTTTTTTTTTTATTTGGGTATTACTTATGGTTTAAGGTTTAAGCTACTGTAGATATATTAAAAGTCAGACAAGCCGCAAGCGGTAGCATAGTTGGTTGAGGCACTATGCTACAAGCGGGTTTGATTCCCGATGAGGTCATTGAATTTTTCAATTCACCTAATCCTTCCAGCCCTGGGGTCGACTCAGTCTCTTAACAGAAATGAGTACCAGGAATCTTCCTCGGGGTAATTGGCGGTCGGAGCATGATACTGGCCTCACCAATCTCTGTGAGCCGATTATCTAAAAAATGTGGGAGCCTCGACGACTCACAGCCCTATGGGCCTCCACGGCCTGTTACAGGGATAGCTTTACTTTTTTTTTTTTAGAAAAGCACAACCCGGGAGAAAAACTGATAATTCGTGTATTGTACAACGTATTTGTGAAACTGTTTAACCTCTTTTTTCTGTTTCCTTTATCCTATCAGCATTCATAAAATATAATATTTAAATATTTAAAAATTATAATATATATGTTCAAATTCACATTATATTCAGCAGTTTCCCGTTCAATATTTACTAAGCAGAGAATGGCCTAGCCGGCTGGCAAAGCAGTAACACCCTATACTTTTACTGGGGAGCTGCCCAGAGTAATTTGGCATTATATAAACCACACACACAAAAAAAACTAAGAAACTGTTCATTGAAATTAAAATATTAATACAAGATTAATATTAGTTATGTCCAATTTCGGGACAAAGTAAATTCTTACTCTAAAATAAAGTAAAATTCAAAATAAAAAGATTTAGGTCAGTGGTTCCCAAACTTTTTCAGTCCCATAAAATGATCCACAGTGCCCCTGCCCTACCCTTCAGAACAGCGGTTTGCACGACCCACTAATGAAGATAATAACAATAAAACAAGATACCACATTTAGTAACTACTTCAATATTAGTAAATTATTCATGCGATGCATGGGCCTGATGAAGTGATACAGTTTCCCAGTGTCTGGTCTAAAGTCACTTCAATTGTCAATTAGAAGACAACGCGCTCGGAGTGGCCCACCTCCAGCGTCCCCTTAGGTAATGTTAACGCCCCGCAGGGAGCGGTACCACTAACTTAAATGTAAAAGTAAATTTCTCTGTGAACGTGCAGACAACAGAGAGTGAGAGATTATCTCTCCAATCAGAGACACAATGATACTTTTCTGCAAATCAAAGATGACAAGAACTGTTTTCATTCTCGTAAATGACATTCTACAAATCTGCTACAGCGATCTCAAGAAGTCCTTCATTTCGTACCACTGAGCGAAGATATCTCTGGAAACTGTACGGCTTTATACTGAATCTTCCGTTACTCGTATCTGTTTACAATAATGTCATGTTGCAATGGACAAATTAATTTTAAATCACCTGGAATGCTTAAAAATATTACTGCTGAAGAATACCGATATGCAAATGAACGTTTATCTGAATTCAGCAAACGGCCTGCGATCAAAATGAGGCTGTTACGCCTCTTTTAAACAGGACGCCAGATGTCTACTTTTTCATTTACAAGCAGTAATCTACTACCATCATTTTGATACTTCCCACTCCCTGGTACCTGTTCTCAGTTCTGGTAATAGCCGGTACCGCAAGCCTACGGGATGGACGTATGGGGTTCGATTCCCGGCAGGACAAGGGATTTTTCTGTTCCACAGCATCCAGACCGGCTTGGGACCTAGGGACCTAAACAGCCTCTTATCCAATGGGTACCGAGGGTTCCTTCTCGGGGTGAAAGAGGCCAGGGCGTGAAGCTAACAACTCACTTCCATCTAGTGCCGATGTCAGTAATGGTGGAGGTATATCTCCAGTACCCCCGCATGCCTTCATGGCATTGTGCTTAATTAAGAATAGGGAAATTTTACCACAAACGACTAAATGCGAATCTAATAAATTAACTTTCAAACTCATATTGTGGCCAGAGTTTTAGATTTTATCTATGTCTTCAGTGTTCATTGACATTTTGGTCTTTCTCGTTCCCTTGGAAGCTGTGAATATTTTCTTTAATAAAACTCTTGCTTTTTTATTAATAACACTGAATTGATAACGACAGAACTACTGTTAGATTTTTATCAGGAATATCATACATAAAATTATTCGCAGTTTCAATCTCCGCCAGACAAATGCTTCGGAGGGGAGGGAGTCTTAAAACTGGCATAGACCAGTTCCTTCAAGACGCTTTCCAAATCACAATTTATTATCATCTTACCATTTATCTTCCGACACTACAAGCATCGTTAAATGACACACAGGAACTGCAGTAGCCAGGTCTCGAAAAAATCGTGTATTGCTACGAAAACTGCAAGGCAGGTGTCAAGCCCTCTTCGTTCTTAACCTAGTTCTGTATGTGAAAACATGCAACTCACCATTCTTCTCAGTTTCCGGTCTCATCACTGTTTTGAATAACCGCTTCTCTTTCATAATTTCACACAGCTACTGTAATACCTTCCCAAGTAAACCGTACTACACTAAACATTCCAACAAACCCGCGCCGACACAGCAGCCAACTGCGACCTCGTTCTTATCACGGCCAACCATCCGCGTGAAACTCCCGTGTTATTGGCGGGCAACATGGCCGCCATGACACCACGGTGCAATGCTGCCACCATCTCTATGCATCATACATTTAAATTTAAAACGGCCGACATGGCTGAGAGCACAGTCGGTAAGAAGGTATGCTAACATAGCAACTATTTTGACAGCCCCCCCCCAGTGCTTTGTTCGCTAGAATAGCAATAAATACTTTTACAACCAGATCTCTTGTACTGCAGATGTCCCCCCCAACATATCTCTATTTTTGAACTGTGTTCAATATCACTAGTCAAGGAGGATGAGGTTGGCAGGGCATGAAGCACGAATGGGGGAGGCGAGGAATGCATATAGGATACTGGTGGGAAAGCCAGAAGGAAAGAGACTACTGGGAAGACCAAGGTGTAGGTGGGTGGACAATATTAAAATGTATCCTAGATAGAGAGAGGATGATATGGTATGGATTGGATTGATCTGGCTCTGGATAGGGACCAGTGGAGGGCTCTTGTGAACACAGTAATGAACCTTCGGGTTCCATATAAGGCTGGAAAATTCTTGAGTGGCTGCACAATTGGCGGGTTCTTGTGAAGGGCTCAGCTCCATAAGTAAGTTCAATATCACTTCACCCATATCCCTTGGTTTGGATTTCAGTGGAGTGCTATTAAACTTGGTCCCCCCCCCCCCCCAAAAAAGTAAGAAAATAAGAACCTCTGCAGCTCTGGAGTACAAGAGATTAGGTTGCAAATTATTTCTCTGTAGAAAGGTTCTCACCAGTGCCTGGAGAGTCATAACGTCTCTTTCACATGAAACACCTCTTTAACCAAATGCACTGAACATTGTGAACTGTAACATGCATGGAATACTTGTATTTAGGAAAGCTGATGGTGAGGAAACTTGAAAGAAAATTCTGTTTCCATCAGAGATACATATATCTATACCCCATAATTTCCTCATAACTTACACTTCAAAGCCATACAGAACACAGTTTTTTGGTTACATTTAAGTGTTATAAATCATGTATTCTAAGCAACAACACTCATGTTCCCATTTATTATTATTTTCATTAGAATGATGGAATTCGAGAATGTGAAATACATTCTTGTCAGCAAGATTAAAACTGCATTTAATTATATAAGAAAGTCTGATATATTCGTCTTCACCAGTTCAGTACTAGGCAAAATAAAATGGCGGAAATAATAATAGATCTTAAACAAATATAATGAATACTGAAAATCTGGTATTATTCATCTTCCAGTTCGGTATTGGATATGATTATATAGCAAAAATTAATAATATAGCTTAAAGAAATGCAATTACGATTGAAAATCTTATGTTCACGTTCACCAGTTCAGTACAGGTGGGATTATATGGCAAAAGTAAGAGAAGGAATACACTTATAACAACAAAAGTGAATACCGATGTAACAAAAATGAGATAGGTAATGAAAATACGACAGAATCTGTTGTGGACTGACAGGGGGCTTATAAATATTGCCAATAAAGCCATGTGCAGTATATATGTATAGTTTATTAACATTTATTCATTTTGTTGACTATGAAAAAGCATACAACTTAAACTGGGAAAAGCTATGGTAGATTTCATTGGTGGAGAACACATCAACACAACTTTTAAAACTGCTTGAGTCTGAAAAAAAAACACACACATAAAGATATGCATAAAATGAAATTAGGAGTAAATTTCAGAACCAATCAACATTAACAAATGACTAACACAAGGAGGTGAGTTATGACCAGACTTTGTTAACATTCACATTAATAAAGCAATAAAACAATGGAAGAGAGCTGCTATAACTGACATCCAATTGACCTCTGGTAAAAGAATTTAAACGGTGCAATATATGGATGATGAGGTTATAACAGCAAAATCTGATAAGTTACAAATAGCAGTAAATGAGCAAACAAAAAGCATACTCCGTGGTTCTAGTCTGAAAGCGAACTATACAGACCGAGTGACCGCCGCTTGATGGCAAAGTTAGTGCCAACTTTAGCAGATGGAGGGTGTCACGTGGTCAGTGCAACGAATACCCACGGCAGTTAATTTCGGTTTTCTACACCAGAGCTGATGTTTCCTTGAAATATATCCTCAATTATCCTCACGAGGCTTAGTTGACCCTGTTTCAGACTCACTACTCTCAGAAAATCTGGTAGCGTCGGGAATTGAACCTGGACCTCTGGATCTGTAGCCATGAACACTAAGACTACAGAGGTGGCCAATGGCAGTAAATGAACTATTAAGAAACATAAAAAGGATCAAACTAAAAAGGAAAGAAAATTATAGAACAAGTTTCTAATTTTAATTACTTGGGATATATAATATTAGATGATGACAGTGATATTAGTATTAAGCTACAAAGATGTGATAAACTGAATGGTATGATTAAAGGTCACTTTTGCAAACATATGACAACAGAGACAAAATTACAAAAATATATAACATTACATATAAAGTAGCTTTGTGCTATGGAGTGAAAAATGGATTGTAAACAACACAAACACCCCAAAACTGGAAGCTACATAAATGATATTCCTGAGACCACCAGGGAAATACTGACATTCATAACAAGTTAATTGCTCAACCTAATAGAAGATATGAATTATATTTACCCAAACTAGCTTTTCAATATCAATCCCAGCGATGACAGGATGCTGGACAACCCAGGTGAAGGTGGACAGATCAAGAATATCCTGAGCTTCAAATAACCAGTCGTAGACTTAACAAATGTTTGTGTTCATGAAGAATTCTTCACATTACACAGCAAAACACATTTAATAAAATTCTTTATTGGGATCCGTCGTAATAAAACAATGAAACGGTCTAGGGCAATATCACCTTAGCTACATGTTTCGGCTTTTCAAGCCATCATCAGGCAAATACATGGTTACTACAGTCACATACTATTGAACTGCATTTCAATGTGATGGTACAGTGGAGCTAGATGCTTGACAACTTTTACATGATAATAATACAAGGTACAAAAATACAAATAAACTATAAAATTGTTATAAAATGAAAGTTATACAATAAATGTGGTTACAAACTATTCATGTAATGTTTCATACTATGATGTCAGTTGTTGCTATCTTGTTGTTTCATTCCAGCGGATATATAGCGGTATATTCATTGACTTGTACACGTATAGTTAACTGCTTGGAGGCCTGTGGTATTAGTGCAGTATTATTTGGTATTTATTGTTTAACCGGTGCTTCATTGTACTGCGTATTTTGTCCACTATGGTTGGAATATATGGTTATGTTTAATACATGGATATACTTGCATCTTTAACATAATTAGGTTTTACCAAGCAGGTTGGTAACATTCCACATTTTTTTTGTGGGGTGCTTTGTTTGAGGCTTCACTCGAACACCAACCATAATTACAGGTTTTTCGTGAATTTTCTCATGCCCTCCACCAAAATTCCTGATACCTCAATTAAACCACAATTACTTCCTTCTAAATCCTCTCCTATTCGCACATCATTATACAAAATCAGTGTTCTATAAGTAACATATGACATCATCGTAAAATAAACCACCAACAAGTTAAGTAGCCGCAAGATCCATCTAAATCAAAATCGCTATATCACATACTTAAAACATTTGCTCTCTGCCCAGTGTGCGTACGATGATGGTTTGTGAGAGTAAACCTCCTTGAGAATGTTGCATTGCATATATTGCAAGCAAAAGGTTTCTCACCAGTGTGCGTTCGATAATGTTCTTTTAAATAATATTTTGTTGAGAATGGCTTATTACATGTTTCACAATTATAAAATTCCCTGGTTGTGTGCGAACGGTAGTGCTTATTCAAAGAATCTCTTCTTGTAAATTTTGTATCACATACGTCACAAATATATGGCTTTTCCCCTGTGTGAACGCGATAATGGTACGTCAGTTTGTACTTTTTTGAATACATTTTGTTGCATACTGAGCAGCTGTAAGGCTTTGCACCCACATGCAGTTTTTTATGCTTCATTAGAAGATCTTTCTTGGAGAACTTCAATGAACATATATCACAACTGAGAGCCTTCCCATCTGTGTGCAAAACATAATGATTTTTTAACGAAATTGTGTGCTTGAACAACTTGTCACACACATCGCATTTGTAGGGTTTCTCTCCTGTATGGACACGCAAATGTTTCTTCAATGTGCAGGCTTGTATGAAACGCTTCTTGCAAGATTCACACTGAAAAGGCTTTTCACCTGTATGAGTTCGAAAATGTCGCTTTAGGTGGCCACTTTTTGAAAACTGCCTGTTGCATACTTCACATTTATGCTTCTTAATGCGGGTACAAGTTGACAGATTCTGTGTTAAAATGTCAACTTTATCTGAGATGTTTAAATTTCCACTGTCTGATTCAGTAGCATGCTGACTGTTGAAATGCATGTAATCTGAACAGACACCTAAAACAGTTTCATCTTGTGGACTGGTCACTTGCCTTCCACTGAAAAAGAGAATAAAGTAGGTAAGAAGGCTTTGATTTTATGCTTACACTATACAAATAACATCCAACACCTGCAGAAAGTGCAAGAGACGGAGGAAATTTCAACTGTGTCTTCAGGCTACAGTACAAAGACACCTGACACATAATCTCCTTCAAAGTGCAGAAACTAAAAGCACTTCACAAAAAGGTGTACTCTATACCAGCCATGGGAACTTAGTTACATAAAATAGATTTTAATATTGTAGGATTTGAGGTTCTCACAGTGGTGGTTGTGAAGTATTCAGTCTTCTTGGAATATAATGCCATGTAGTCTGCCAAAAAGTCAACGAACATTTAAGAAAAAAAAATGCCTTCTCCATCATCAGGGTTCACAGGTGTACCAAGAAACCAATATGAAGCAGGAAGCAAGCATCTCTGCTTGAGCTGCATGTTCCCTCCAAAACGTCTAGTGACTTTTATTGGATTACCACTTGCATGAAGTTATTGTAAGGAACTGAAATACAAATAATCCGGTCTGCACTGTATTTTCTTTTCTTCACCCAACTCTTAGCAAGACACAAATAACATTCCTTTAAGAGGTATTTACAAATTCCGTCATTGTAAGACCCACATCCAATCTCTAGTGAAAAATCAAGCCCAGTACAAGGACTACGTCTGAGACAGAAGCCAAATTTGTAACGAATATAGCCAGAGTGTTTTGCCACCCTTATGCAGCAAATTTCTTGATGAGCCTTCACTCTGGTGCACTATGTTATAACAAATATAAACAATACTGAGAATCATTCTGATTATAATGAAGGCAAAGTTTCCGCTGCTTATATATTTCTGTATTTTTTATTTACTTAAGTACTTTGGCTTCTTTTAAAGAGCATAACATGCCACAATTTAGACTGAAGCAATATAACTAGACCACTATAAGTAAATACAATTTGTTAATTTCATTCTTCACTTCAATTATTGTGATATCTTGCTTTTCAAAACATGTGATGGTATGGAAAAAGGTTTTAATTGACTGGCAATGAAATGTAAGAGGGTGAGTGAAAGTAGATTTTCCAAGAAATTCTGAAGGCTGACTGGACACTTCTCAAGGGAAAGAGAATAAGACTCTAATGCAGGGAAAATATCAATAATTCTCTGTACTGTAAGTAAGAGGGAGAGCCATTTTGTCTTACTATGACTCAAAACAGTTTCATACTCTGTTTCAATGAATTCACAAAATGATTTCATTCCTCCTGTCATTTCAATAACAGAAATGTTTATACTGTAGTGTGTAGACCCGTTACTAGATAGCAACTGCAAACAAACAGGTTCCCATGGCAACAAATCAAAAATCAACAACAAAGGAGCTGTTGAAAGCCGTGGCTGTTGCCACACAATGGCAAGGTAAAAATGTCTCTGCATCAACAGCTGAACTACAACAATAGAAAAGCTGTATTTTCTACATGGTCTGTGCCAAGGGGTTACAAGAGAGAAGAAGTTTAGAACTGAGTTCAGTTGAATGTCAGTCTTTGAAGAGAACACTAGGTGGTCTGTGTGAAATGGATGCCATCTTGGGAGTTAGTCAATTGAAGCACGAACAGAACTGTAAGGGAGTCTGTGAGGAAGACTTAGTTCAGTTGTGGGATATCTGCTAGATGGTAAGGATGTAAGTGGACTGTGTTAAAATCCATTGCCAGGAAATGACTAGTGAAGACTGAGAATACTTTATGTGTACTGTAGTTACAGTGATATTTGGAGTGATTAATTCAGTGACTGTTATAGTTGCTTGTAGTTACAATCTGTAAGTGGTCGATAAATCCAATTACCGATCCAAATCCCATCTATAGTCACCCATCATCACACACTTCATGTTCCTCTGTTAGTAACCAATCCTTCACTGTGGTAATATCAGACACCGCTTCCTGCTAGACATAACAATATTAACGATATACTCACCTGTCAACATACATTTCATGTTCGTCTGTTGTTATCTCATCCTTCACTTCCTCCTTGATTGCTGTGCCATTCAATGCCTCAACCTGTTACAGAAAGGAAATGTTATGCGGTTTAGAATGCACACCACTGATGTTCAAATTTAGACATTGGTGAACTGGACATCAAATACAAAATATGAGGTGGTCATAACCAGTTTCTTTCCTCAGTCTCCAACCTCTTTATGTGTATCTTCAACTATTCTCACACACCACTCAATACCACATGAGCTCCCGAATTGATACTTCGTAAATAACTTTAACTACTCCCATTGCCAAAATTAATAACATACGAATTTAACTGAAAGTATCAAATTAATGGAAGAAAAAAAACTCACATTATTTTCGACCTTCAAGAACGGCGACATCAATAACAGGGGATCCTTCATATCAATAAAATTAACTTCGGTCAAGGAGGAACTTGGTGAAGTTCTTTCTTCTGAAATGGGTTCAACTTTTATAAATTCCGTGTTGAGCTGAAAAACAATGATTTCCAGTCTGATTATTATTACCCTGTCCCATTATGTGAATTACACACAGTCGTAGAAAAGGAAGCCTACCTTCGGTATATTCTCCATTATACAGGGAACTGATGATACAGAATGCTCTATCAGTTGATATTTGTAAGGTAAGGACATTAGTGCATTTCGTCATGGGAGCGTGGGTCCAATTTAATTAAATCCACGGCCTTCTGCAGACCTCAATAGCGCTCAATAGTTGTCACTAGGCCTTTGACAAATGAAACAGAAGACACAAATAATAAATCTTCTTGAACTAACAAAACATGCTATTAAAGCAACAGTACTGTAACATATCGAAGATTAGCGCCAACGTAAACGAAACGTAAGAACACTGTCTACGGTCCAGAAATACTAAGTCACGTGTACATTAGCTACACTTTTGAGTTGTTATGTGTAACAGTACACGTTATTTTTGAGGTCTTCCATTCAAAAGTAACAAGCAGAGTAGGTTACGCACCACATGTGGTCTTTATGGTCTTTACGAATACTATATCGTTTCAGTAACACTATGAAAACTTCAACTTACACATCACCCCCTTCTGTGCCACTTAGATCATGCCCTTTGGAAGTGAGCCCTTCAGTTGAAGCTAGCAATTGTTCACAGGCAAAATTGTCAGCGTGTTATTGATTCTAAATGTTCATTACCGTATTCACAAGAGCCTGCCACTGGTATCTACCTTTGGCCAGTTTAATTCAGTCCACCCTCTCGCCCTAACCTATTTAATAAGTCATATCCCCCACCCCACTACTTGCAGGTTTTCCTACCAAATCCCTATGTTCACTCTTCTCCCACGCATGTTGCATGCCCTGACCATCTCATCCTCATTCATGATCATTCTAATTATATATTATGAAATGTACAAGTTATAAATCTCCTGATTAACTCATTTTCACCATCCTCCCATTATTTCCTGCCTCTTTCATCTGTATATTTTCTGCTGCATCTTGATTTCAGATATCCACAGTCTGTGTTCTCCTCTCAAAGTCAGAGACAAAGTTCCATACCCATACAAAACTACAAGTAAAATTATAATTTTGTTTTAATTTTTACGTTTTTAGGCAGCAGATAAGAGAAATGGTTCTGAACTGGATAATAGCATGCATGATTCAAACTTAATCTTACTTTTAATTATTTCGGTGACCAGATTTTGTGTGAAAAAGAAAAGGCAGTGCAAACTACAGTTGTCAGTATGTGGTACCTTATTTCATGAGTCCATGCTTCTTCAGTTGCTACTGCCTATTTTTAGGTTTTAATTTGTTTCATAAAATATTCGATGACCCTTCAGGTGTTATGACAAATCTGGATTTTTGTGCGTCTGTCCTTGGTACTGTTGATATGTGCTTCCAAATCATAACTTCCTTTGTTTACTTTGGGCGTGAAAGTCTTGCATATAATGCAGTCTATTTCATTTTTGTTTCTCCTAGCTTTTAAGCAAGGATTTTTTTTAAGTTCACTGTTAAATGTATGCATGTACACTTATCCTTGTACATTATGAAAATACAAGACAAATTTGGCAAAACTACACAGTTGAACTTATATTTACAAAACTTGCAATATGCAGGCTCAAACACAGCAATTAGTTTGGCTTCTTTCTCTCTTCTGGAATTGTAACTACTGAGCGCACACTGACAAAGTGCCTGCAAATATCTATCAATGCATATAAAAATTACCTGATTTAATTACAACATGACATTTGCAGTTCTACCACTGTTGCAGGTGCAGGCACATAACTCTGCAACGGCACTTCAGACATACTGCTTGCATTAAAAAAAAAAAAAAATAGCAGACTTCAACTGTTACTCACTCACAAGCACTCTAAATGTGTTTGTATGCTTAATTTTTCTGAAACAAGATGATGTTACTGAAGGTTTTAAGTATGTAAGAAGAGAATTTATAAAAAAATACATTTTATCAATTTAACAGAAAAGAGCCACGACATAAAACATTACCCTTAAAAGGGCATGTTTGGCAAAAAGTGGACTTCTAGTCACCCTATCTTAATATTTACAGGAATAAAATTTTGATTGGCTATTATTGTTCCAAAACATTTTAACTTTGCCACATTTTCAAAGAATCTATTACCTGTCTTTATATTATGAATTTGTCCTGCATGCTGGTGCCCAGAATCATTGTATACTGTACTTATCAAGTGTTATCCGTAGTCCATTGAAAATCAACAAAAGTTTCAGAGGAACACATCACATCCATTTTCAGGTTCAAAGCAATAAATCAAGCAAGAAACCAGCATGAGACAGGTAACAAGCAGAGCATTTTGTTGACTGACTATATGATCCCCGATGATATGGCCCTTCATAACCACTGTTGTGAGAACCTTAAGCCCTACATACACATAGTTTTTTGTGTGTTTACTTCTAGATGAGTCCCCTTCCAAGTGTCTATTAGAGCTTGTTTTTTAATTTGTAGTATTCATTTATCCACGATAAATTAACATGATCAATATAGACCAAAAGTTTGTTTGTTCCAGTCAATTTGAATCCTGACAGGTTTTCTTGGACTTTCCTAATGGCATATTCTAAAACAAAGACAATAAAGCATCCTTTGTCTCAGACCTGTTTGCATATGAAACATACTAGACATTTAAGTTTTGAGGTTTTCACGGCGAAGACTATGATTCACTGGCCGTTTCCCCCCCCCCCCTTCACCCACCAGACCATATATGGCCCTAATCGCTCTTCACTGTTCCCATCGGTTCCCCCTCTCCCTACCCCCCCTGCCTACTTCCTATATAAAGCAGCGCTTTTCACTTCCTAATCATAATGACAGACCCGACCTCTCATCAGAGAGGGCGCCCCACATAGACAAGACAATAACTTCCATTCAAAAGAAATATCTGGTCATGAGCCCCAAGACAGACTGACTGACCGTCAGTTGTAACATGACCATGACCTTGACCTTCCTAATCATTACAGCTACTGCTCTCTGTATTCGCAATGCAATTCACCTGCCCTGAAGATGGAGGCGATACGTTCCTCTGAAACGTCTGCTAAAACAAAGAATACACGGTGCCAGATCCCAGAAGACGACTTTCTTCATATTAGACAAATGTTTGCCTGTACAGGCCTTACTATAGGTCTCATTTTAATTAGCCCAGATGGTTTCATGGTTATACTAAACTCAATGACAACATGCAGTACTTTCTTTGTATCTGAACACAGGCTTTCTTTAAGCCTATGAATAGCTGATATTCTGCTCCCATTTTGTTCTCCAGTATCTATGGATGCAAGCAAGCTAATCAATAGCTGGTTTGTTACTCGTATATATATGAAGTTGACTGTAGTGATATGCCTTGACAACTGCTAGTCAGTTTTATCACACTTCTTGTAAATACATATAACAGACTCCTTCCACCACTATGGGAATTCTTTCTTACACCAAGTAGAATTAATAAGATCATGGATCTCTGAATGTAATATTTAACTTCCTGCTTGATCAGTTCTGCCATAATTTGATCAATACTGAAGGATTTACACTTCTTTAACGTTTAAATAGCAATTTCAACCTCAAAATAACTTGACTAAGATACTAACGATTCAGCTGCATGTACATCCAGCTGCCTAATGTTACTAACCCCTTCAACAGATGAGAAAAAGTAATTCATCATCTATTCAAGACACTGTAGGAATCTTCAAGCAATCATCACCTGCATGCTTTACCAAGTTATTTCTAGGATGGTAATCCTTCTTGAATTCGTTTATGCCTCTGTGTCCTTATTTTTACTGTTTCTTGCAAGCCCATTAATATGATTTTTCTGATATTCACCCCCCCCCCCCCTTTTTTCCTGAAATGCCTACTAGTTTCACATCTAACATCATTCTGATTCTCATCATTGCAATTTGGATTGTTTCTGTTTATCTAATAGATTTTAAAACATCCTTCATTTAACCCTTGCTTATGCTAGTTCATAATAACCCATACTCTCTTTGGCTAAAATTTTATATTCACTATAACAGACTCACAAGTGCTCTTGATGTTCTCATCATCAGCTAAGTTTTCCAGAGGTGTGAAACTGTTTGGGATTTTAACCAGATACTGTTCTTTACCTTCCACATAGCATAATTTCTTAAGACTAAATCTCTCCATTAAAATGTGTCAATTCTTGTTGCTTGTTTACTTATTGATAGCCTCTCCTTAACTTCTGCAATCATCAGATAGTGATTGGTATCACAGTCAACTTCTCCGGAAGATCGGACATGAAGTATATTTGAATGTTGCCTCCTGTCTATCAAAATGTGATCAATCTGTGTGTCTTTTCACTTTCACATTCCTAAGTTGGGTTATAAGTTCTGGAATGTGGCAACAGTGTACTCTTGGTAAGTTCCTCACTGTCAGTTTTAAAAATTTCCTCTACCTACTTTGATACTGAAATCTCCTAAGAGAATTTTCATGCAGTAGTTAGAGAACTGATTGAATACACACTTCCTCACAGAAGCTATCCTTTGTATCATCAATTTTATCCTCCAGTGATATCACATCAGTTACCTCTTATTATTATATAAGACAACCTACCAATAACAAATTTTATACTCTTAATTGCTGAGATGATTCACTTATGTACACGCGACTTACTGTATAAAGTAAAGGTATCTCTGTAACAGGCCATGGAGACCCATAGGATTGTGAGATGTTGAGGTTCCCACATTTTCTAGACAATCGGCTCATAGATGGCAGTAAGGTTGTCAGCCTTATGTGCCGGCTGCCCTTTACCCTCAAGAATATTCCTGGTACTCATCTGTTAGAGGCTGAGTCAACCCCAGGGCCATAGTGCACCTGAAAGGATTAGGTAAATTGAAAAATCTACCTCTTCAGGATTCGATCCCGCGACCTTCCAGCTTGTAGCACCTTCCTGTACTCCTACTAAATCTTTGTAGTTTTTCTTGCAACTGTTTTTGGTGAACCTGCCTTTTAAGTCTCCTTACATTAAACATACCAAATCTAACATCCATTTTCACTTTGCTTAGGTCATTCCAAACAACCTTCAAAGTCTGAGGCCCTGTATAACATTTTACAAGCGTTTTTTTTTATGTTGAATTGTCAGCCCGACGGCCAAAACTCAAGTTGGCAATGACTGGCGAACATATAAAGGATCTTATGTGTGCTGAGTACAGTGATTTGTAGAAGCGCAGATCCAAACACCACATCTAGTCATTAACACATGAAAATATATTGCAAAATGATAAAAGTCATATATGACTGTGTAATGCATACAGAATTATGCTATTTGTCTTGCAGGTCATTATGAGATCCAGGAATGACATTACAATATCCAAACTTACTTGTCTTCACCTGAGGCCTTGGGAATACGTGTTTCAGTTTCTGGAGCAAAACTTTAGAGAACTTTACCTTTCAATCTTGGTTTCCATGAAACCAGTTTACTTCTATTACCTACATTTAGTGGCATTCATCTGTATTTATTTGAAAGTGAACACAGCTTCACTGCTGACTGCATTCCATCTGAACACTTTTTTTCTCCAGACAGAATATCCACTTTTAATCAAGTTGTCTTATACTACACGTATTTAGGGAGTTCAGACTTTTAAATTTGGTCACTGGCTGATTAACATAATATTTTTTTACATTTCGTCAGCCATGCTTTATAGCAGCAGAAAATGTTGCTACAAATTATCAAGATGGAGCCTTTTAGTAACTCAATTATAATAATAATGGGGGGGGGGAGAGAACTGTGACAATTATCTCTGTAAGCTCAGAATAATGGGCAACTATGGAATTCACATGGATGCGATTTTTTAATAATAAAATCCAGAGAGACAAACTAACAAAGATAAAAATCACTCTCAAAAACTTCAATTTGTAAAATTTCACAAACATGGATTATATGTATGTAACAAAACAGAAAAGTATATGCAAAAAAAAAAAAACAGTTTTAACACATAAGACATACTGAACCCTCCGCATTTGTGACCCTATCATTCACAAAATTTAAGATATGTCTAATGTATGCCTACTCTATATTTCTACCCCCTTGGCCTCACAAACATGTGAGTTGCCAACACAGTACGGCAGTATGGTACACAGCCATGCAGGAATGCACAGCTCCCCTACTTCAGTCTTGGAGACTCAGATGGCATTGCATAACAAATGACCATCACCAAGTTTCTTAAGCATTAACACTCTGTACCAGCCACCCCTGACTGACTTCTATCACCCTCTTTGGAGGATACATCCTGACTTCACCACAATATTATTATATTATTATAATTACTAATATGTACATGTACAATATATAATAAAATGGTAAAGCTATCCCTGTGATAGGCTGTGGAGGCTCACTGCATTGTGAGACACTGATGCTCCCACATCTTCTAGACAATCAGTTCACAGATGGTGGTGAGGCTGTCAGTCTCACGCAACAGCCGCCCTTTACCCCAGGAAGATACCTGGTATTCATTCCTGTTACATGCTAAGCTGACCCCAGGGCCATAATGCAGCTGGAAGGATTAGGTCAACTGAAAAATCCAATGGCTTCATCAAGAATCGAACCCATATCATTGTTTACCGATTTGTATCTATGTTCTCATAAACTTACCTTATCCCTATGTTGTGTCATGCCATAAAACCAACCCCAATTCTTCCACTTAATTATAGTCTCAATATACAGATACCATACATTTTCATTAGTTTACATAAATGTAACCCTTTCGAATGTGGAGGGTTTAATATATAAACCACAAAATATGATTACACTAGTGGAATACCCTTTGAGAAGCTAACAATTCACATCTCTAGATGTACATTTCCACAGATAACCCATTTATCCATTCTTATATATTAAAGCCCTAGAGCAGGCATGTCCAACGCATTGATTGCAATTGACTGGTCGATCTCATAGGCCTATAAGTAAATTATACATGAAAAGCATGTAAATTCATTTGTAATATAATGATTATATTCAGATTCTTAAGGGAAAATACATATTAAAGCAGTCTGTACTTTCAATGTATGTTGCTTTTACAACAAACATCATGTGTCATGTTATTTTTACCAATATTGTTGCTTAAAGCAAGGTACTACGATAGGAGGGGGGGGGGGTTGATCACTGGCAGTTTTGACACTAAAAAAGTCGAGCACAACCTGTTTGAAGTTGGACATGCCTGCCCTAGAGGAATACTTTGTAACTACAGTTTCACTCGATATAAATGCTGAAAAGTTCTAGACAGTTTCACAGGAATCAGTTATGCTGGCTAGTCTAGAAATAGCCTTTCCTGGGAAAGGCCAACACTGCAATACTCAATGAAATATACTTTCCACTATCATTTACTGTTGCCATCTTCTGATCCTACCATAATTAACAGACTAGTTCAGCATTTTCCTTTTGTGCAAATTACATAACAATAAATAGACAAACACTGACCTGCTTATGCTAATTAAATAAAGAAAATGTATGAACCACAAAGTTAGTAGAAAGTCCGTTGAGTGTAACAATTTGTAGGTCACTTTTTATTATTATTTCTGCCTTACATGTTTCGGTTTGACACAACCATCATCAGAGGCACTTGCTATAATTATGGAAACACTGTCGCTGTTTTTGATGTTCACAATTATGTTTGTCGTGTGGACGTTGCTACAATATGTTGACGTGTAAAAGCACAAAACGTCACACAACAAACATAATTGTGAACATCAAAAACAGCGACAGTGTTTCTATAATTATAGCAAGTGCCTCTGATGATGGTTGTGTCAAACCGAAACATGTAAGGCAGAAATAATAATAAAAAGTGACCTACAAATTGTTACACTCGACGGACTTTCTACTAACTTTGTGATTGATAGTGTAACGGACCAAAATGAAACAATTAAAAAAATGTATGAATATAACATACAGACATGTGAATAACTGAAGAAATGTACACCTCAAAAAATGGGAGGATCTAGCAAACATGAACTTAATTACAAAGCTGACAATACAATATCAATCAAATGTGAAACATATCGGCACAACGCGCTTATATGCTACGTCAAAGAGTTTACAAATATAAAACTTAGAACTCTACTGTGCATAGTGACCCACAAGGGAGTTACGGTGAAGCATTTTAGAGTTCAGATTCTTATCAGTCGAGTGAGTGCGGGTGTGTTCTACAAGTGTAGAACGCTGTCTGAAACTTTTGTTGCATATGGTACAAGAGTAAGGTTTATCTCCAGTATGGATATAAGTATGTTGCACAAGGGTGCTACGGTGAGAGAAACTTTTGTGGCATATTTCACAGCTGAATGGCTTAATTCCGGTATGTGTTCGACTATGTTCCTGCAGAGTTGCACGTTGTGTAAACGTCTTTTTGCATACTTCACAGCTAAAAGGCTTGTCTCCTGTGTGTGTCCAAGTGTGGAGCAAAAGATGTGCACGTTGCCTAAAACTTTTCTCACAAACTTGACAAGTGAAGGGTTTATGTCCTGTATGAATTCGTGAGTGAGTTACAAGATTTCCGTGTTGGGTGAACTGCTTTTTACATACGTCACAGCGGAAAGGCTTATCTCCTGTGTGAGTGTGGGAATGATCAGAGAGCGACTTACGATGATTGAACCTTTTGTTGCAAATATTGCAGCTGAATGGTTTCGCACCAGTGTGGATACGAGTATGTGCTACAAGAGATGCACGATCTATATAAGCATTATTACAGACCTCGCAGCTGAATCGTTTCTCTCCAGTGTGAATTCGGGTGTGACGAACAAGGTTGGCACGCCTTGGGAACAACTTCTCACATACCTCACACTTGAAAGGCCCAAGAGGTTTTGTGAGATTTGATCTTCTGTTGCATACTTCACGGATGAATGGCTCACCTGGGTGAAACGTACGTGCATGATGTGCAAGGGAGTTACTGTGGCCAAACCGTTTGTTGCATATCTTGCAGCTGTAAGGCTTATCACCTGTATGGGTGCGTGTGTGGGTCATGAGGTGGTGACGAAGCCTGAATGTTTTGCTGCACACTTCACAGCTAAAGGGTTTATCTCCTGTGTGGATGCATGCGTGTGCTACTAGGTTCCCACTAGTTGAAAAGCATTTCCCACAGATATCACATTCATGAACCTTCTTCCCTTTGTTCTGGTCATATTTTCTTGCTGAATATCCATTACTTTTAGTTTCACATTCCAAATCCTTCATTCCTGTGACAACGGAACTGCTCAAGTCTCTATGTGTGTCTGCATACACATGACTGACATCAGCTTCTGTAATGTTTTTCTGCTGACTGTCAATACACACACTGACATCTGTTGTTTCAGTGCCTTTGGCAGCAGTAAGATTATGCAGATGCTCCCCACTGTTAAAAAAGAAAGAGGCTTTAAATAAACAAACTGCAGAGACAGTTAACAGTTTCTGCAGTGTCAACACAACTGTTACATGTGAAAAATTATACACTGCAGACTGGAAGCTGGTCTAACGCTTGGAGCAGGCAAAGCAGTGCTCCTGTGTGGGAATCTGGAAATGTGACCACAAGTTTGAAAATAAAATCAATACTTTAATGAAGCATCATTATTATACTCTGACCTTATTCAATGGTAAATAATCTTTGCATGTGATACAGCATCAAGATATATTGCACAAGCTAATGTGTAAGTGTACAGACAAAGGAAAGAGAACATAATATCCACAATCACTTTACATAACACTTGCTCACTCAAAGAGAAATGTAAACTGGCTGACAGTACAAATACTTTCAGTAGATGGCTACAATTACGAGGCAAAAATATTCTGATGTTCCACTAGTTCAAAATAATAGAAAATATTACAAGTGCTTGTGGATCAACAGAGACAAGCAAATTTTCCTGTCACCCATTGCCAACTACATTTCCTGTTAGCTTGTGTGTATGAAGAATGGGATGTTCCACTTACACAAATCTGCTACTTTCATGAAAAAACTTCATGTGATTTTCACCCTTTTCTGGTCTTTTGCATATTTTCATTTTCTGTCTCAAGATCAAAATGATGTATTTTCATGTTAGTTCTTCCATGGGAGTCTTCTTATGTATAAAAAACAACTGATTGATGGGTCGAAAGATTTTGGATACAATGTAATGCAAACAGGGCACACGGTAGTGCAGTTGGTTGAGGCACTATGCTACAAGCTGGAAGGTTGTGGGTTTGAGTCCCGATGAGGTAGATTTTTTTCAATTTACCTAATCCTTCCAGCTACATTATGGCCCTGGGGTTAAGTAGGAATCTTCCTGGGGGTAAAGGGCGGCCGGTGCATAGGGCTGACAACCTTAATGCCATCTGTGAGCCAATTGTCTAGAGAAAATGTGGGAGCCTTGACGTCTCACAACCCTATGGGCCTTCATAGCCTGTTACAGGGACAGCTTTACTTTTTCTTTTATGTAATGCAATCACAAATTCAACTAGCCTCTCCCACAATCAGCATCACCACCAGCATAATGCCACCTGCATGAGGACAATGGGCAGTGCTGCTAGCAGCAGCTGAGAGAACTATCAAAGTCTGTTGGTTTCATGGAAATTATGGATGCTTGGATACCAGATAAGCAGTTTACAATTTTCATTTCATGCATCCTGTTGTGTTATAATATATAATTTCTTTATTAAAACGGTCACAACACAACTATATTAAGGTCAGTGCCAAGTACACCACTGAACCGCAGTACTAGTAAAATTGGACACAATAATACTATTAATTATATTAAAATACTTGGCATAATGAAAGTACAATAAATTAGACTATATAAAACGAAAGTTATAGTATAAAACAAGATTAAAATTCTTCAAGTGATGTTTTCCATCATCGAGTCAGTTGTTGGTTTTTTGTGATTTTGTTGTGTTCCCACAGACAAATTGGAGTATTCTATATTTTTTGTGTATATATAATAAACTGTTTTGGAGGCTCGTGATGTAGATGTAGTAATATTAATGTCAATCTGAAAATGATATGAGAGTAATAGTATTAAATTTTGTTATAATTAACAATTGATTTTGGTATTGAAGATATAGTGTATTATTTACTTACTATTTAGTCGGTGCCTCATCTTACAAAGTAGCGTGCGTTCTGTAGGGAATGTAAACGACAGAAGGGCTGCACACTGAAATACAGCCATTCAGAACATGCAGCAGACGTTATCTGCAGTATATAATGCTGAAACATATACCCGATTTTTATGATGTCCCCAAAAAAAAAGGGAATTTAGGTCAGGTGAATGACTTGATCAGAATAGTGGTTCCTACCTTCCTAATCCATTGTCCGGTATAAGTGGTCTCAAGGTAGTGTCTGGTGGTTTGAGTGAAACGGTTAGGGTGCTGTCATGCATGAATCACATGTTTCACTGACTATCCAATGGAACAGTGTCCAATAATTCTGGCAAAGTGTGCTCCAAAATATGATGGCAGCACCAGTAAGTCTATGAGGGAAACACATTGGCCTGTGAAAGTCTCCAATGATACCACCAGCCCAAATGTTAACTGAAAACTGCTGCTGATGTTGGACTGAACTGTACTGTGCAGGTTCACACCACACCAAATGAGCCTACTATGGAAATTTAGTGTGCCATTCCTTGTGAAGCCTGCTTTCTCCACAAAGAGCATGCAGTTGATAAAGAAAGGACATTCACTGTACTGTCAAAGAAACCACTGGCAATTCTTGGTATGGGTGAAAATCAAGCAGACAGATCTTGTACCTACTGCAAATAGTATGGGTACAGTAAATGTTTATGAAAGAGCTATGTGCACCACCGGTTAGGCTGCTTGTCTTCAATAAATGCTGGTGTGGGGATTCTCCTCTACTTCTTGGTACATGCATTTTCACATCAAATATTCATGCACTTCTCCACCTTCCTCAGTCAACTGTAGAAAAGTGAACAGTACCATTATCCCTGATGCAATGATCAATGGCATGAAACATGCGTTTAGAAGTTTATGTTTAACATAATTCTCCATGTGCAACCTTACAGTTGCTGCACCATTACCAAAGGTTTTGCCAAGAACTGTATATCATTGGAATGTGCAGTTATCCAGTTTAAGCACAGATGTACGACGCAACTATGACAAAAGACAGCACTTCACTGTAGGCACAGTTCAGCGGAAGTAACCACCCCATGTCACATGCTTGTGTATGCGGTAAAGCTATCACTGTGACAGGCCAAGGAGGCCCCTAGGGTTGTGAGACATCAAGCCTTCCACATTTTCCAGACAATCAGCTCACAGATGGCAGTGGAGTTGACAGCCTTACGTACAGGCTGCCTTTTACTCCCAGGAAGATTCCTGGTATTCATTTCTGTTAAGATGTTGAGTACACCCCAGGGCCATAGCGTGACTGGAAGGATTAGGTCAATTTAAAAATCCAATAACCCCATCAGGAATATAATCTGCAACCTTCTGGCTTGTAGTATACTGCCTCAAACAACTATGCTACTGTGTGCCCTGCTAGTGTATGGGGGGGGGGACCAAAGTTCCCAGAATTTTGTTCTATAGAGATAACCACTTCCTGTTAAAGCAAATGGGATGGAGTGTGCAGGAGTGGCCTGTGGGGCACGCTGCAACAGGCTGAGATACATTGGTGTGCCGCAGTCAGCTGTGGAGAAACAACCGGATCCTGTGCCATAACAATACACCCCGTCACACCTCCAATACAGTCCAACAGTATTTTTTGCAAAAAACCAAATCCTAACCATCATCCAGGCATCAAATTGTCCATATTTCACTCTGCGTGACTCATGGATCTTCCCAAGACTTGATATGGGAGTCAAAGGTCAACATTTTGTGTCCATGGTGAAAATTAATCAAAATGTGACTGTAGGTCTGAGAGCCATACCAGAAAATGGCTTCCAGCAATTCTAGGACCACAGGAGCAAGTATGTGCAGAAAGACAGTACTTTGGGCATGAGCAGATTCTGTGAACATTTCTGGTTCACATGATAAACTTATGTTCTCAAATGTTCCAAAACTTGGAAATAAAACTCCCGGTTGACAGTCTCACCAGGTGGGACTAACGCTTGGTGCACTGTTCCTTTGCAGTCAAAAAAAAAAAAAAAAGTCTTCACCTCTCATTTTGACATCCACACATTCCTGGAGTGGGGTACAGCTGGAGATTTCCACTGCATGCTCTGCCACTGAAAAACCCAACTTTTGTCCCTAGTGATAAATCTGTTCAATCATTTTTTTTGGTGTGATCTTGATATTAGTTGTGTTGTGACAGATATAATAAAAAGGTTGTCTGTTCAATCATTTGTTATGCCCAACTTTCCGCAAAAGATCAGCATGAATTTCTCCCCCTCTGTTCAGCTGGCTGTAAGTGACAATCTTGGAAGCCATCTTTGCAAAAACTTTCTCCATCCCCAAATTTTCCATCTGTACTGATATTCAGTTCTTCAACAATTATACTGAAAGTAAGGTTGTGATCATTCCACACCACAGTTCTTACCTTTTCAACATTTTCTCCAATTTTGATGCTGTCAGGCTTCCAGGACAGCTGTCAAACTTAATTTCATTCCTTCTTTGGAAACCCATTTACACAGTGCTTGAGGTGGAATGAAAATAGAACCGGGATGGTTTTCCCCTTTTAACAAAAAAGGTATTGTACATTGCATTTACTGCCAAAGAAGTAATGGGATGCTTTTAAGCCATTTAGAAAAGAACCGGGATGTCATCCCGCCGCATCCTGCCCCACCTCAAGCCCTGCATTTACACCATTCAGAAACATATGCTCTTGAAATAGCCTCTTCCCCATGTACTTGCTTTAAAATTTCAAATATCTTGGTTGTTTTTTTTAAACTTTGAACAAAAATGTTATGTCGATTCTTTGTTCAAAATATCATTACCCCTTTCTGTGTCAAGCTATCCAAACATTATTTCTGCTAAAGCACAACAGCTCTGCACTTGCTACACTTGTCAAGACAAGTTGCTACTCTGTAGACTTCAGGCATGTACTCATATATGGTAGCACCTGCCACTGACCACAGAGTGACTCACACTCAGTAGCACTGTCAGTTTTATTCACTGTCAGATCTTGTATAACTGCACTTGCTTTAATCAGCATGCAGAAGGAAATGCTGACCCCTCCCACCCATTAATGTTCCACGATTTAAAGATGTCTTTCATTTAACGTTCAATTTCAGTGACTTCAAGTAAATAATTTCATTATTAAATTTGCTCCATTCACGGTTTTTAGATATACTGTTCAAATTCACAGCTTCCCAGGAATACAGTATATGGGCAGCAATGTCAAAGACATTTCAGGTAAATAAGCAATATTACCAGAAATAGATATTGCACTATGACTGTACTTGGCATTAACAGAGTTGTCACAGGAAAACATACACAAGCAGAATTCCTACACTAATATGAACGTCAGAGCAGTAACCTTACCTGTCTGCATATACTTTAGGTTTCTCTGCTCGTACTTCATTCTTAAATTCATGTTTTACTGTTGTCATATCCTCTGGCTCTTCAAGCTGTGCAAAGAATATTCAGCATGTATCTTATATTTAGGAATTAACTGGGAGGGTATGTACAATAACAAATTTTTAGGTGTTAACATTATCGGAAAGCAGGGCCAAAAGTAAATACATACTGACATATGAAGAAAAGAGGTAAACTTAGGATGAATTCTGTGGGACCTGAATTGTCGAATATTGAAAGGATCATGAACACGCACACACAGATATATGAAGTGTTCTGTGACATACTGGCAAAACTTCAGAAATGTCTTCTACAGGTCATTAGAAGCAAAAATGCCTAATGAACTATGGGTTAATTTGAGCAATTATCAAGTTAAATGCTGCTGGAGCAAGCTGGAACTGCTGTTAACTTGACCATGCTCCTGATGGTACATTGTCTAGGCTAGTGTGGCTGTGCTGTGTTGCAGTATGGTCATAGTTCAAAAGCCTAACAAATTTAAAGCTCTTCGTAATTATTTTCATTGACACCATGTTCCATGCTTGGACTAGCCAATCACACATCATACCAACTGACAGTCTTCTTATCTTTTGTGTTGATCCAAACTCATGTCCACCTTCTGCCATCCATGACGTGTAGAGTTTTCTAACATTGTCTTTGAACGGCTTGTCAACTGACACACTACAGGTCTGTAAAATTGTTGTTAACTGTCCAGAAACAATTGCTATATCAGTGTTAGTGTCCATGAGGTATTTCTTTGTGCCATCCCTTAAATGCCAGTGAAAAATATCCCAAACAAGCAGATATGGTAACTCAAGCGATGTGCAAGGTTGTTGACCCCAAACTGTACATCACTTCACAAGTTTTCTTTTGGTACTGTCTTCCTTTCAGATATCAAGTGTTGTGGTGACTTTCTTCTGCCTACAGTTATTGCAAGCATCACAGCATAAAGCTGTTTTTTTTCCCAACCAGCTGTGCAGATAATTACACTCTTTTCCCCTTTCCATCGACTGCCATGTTTGTTGACATATCAAAGTACAAAGCAATTCGAGCCACACTGCCTATTTGCGATAACAAGTGGATAATGTTTTTTCTCAGTCCAATTACACTGAAATGCTATAACCTTCTCATCAAAATACTTTGGCATTCATTGGCTTTGCGATGTCCATCTTCTAAGTGACATTCCTGTCCTCTTCCTAAAGCAATATATTGGGAAACAACAGAAAAATAACAAAAGAATGTGGCTGGGGTGATGGTACAAATGCAGATCTACTTGCACCTGTCTCGGAGAATCATCATCATACACACTGGCAGTGAAAATGGCTTCATTCCAAATGCTTTGTTAGTGTTCAAACTGGGGACACAATCTGAGTGATTATCATCAGGAAATTAACTATGAAAGATGGCTCACCAAACATTTTTTCTGTCATCAGAATGATCACAATTATCTGGTTAATTAATTTCATCTTCATCTGTACCTGTTCTGCTGTCACTCAGTGAAACTACATGTGGTCACGACTGTTTACCCACAACAGTTGTGGCAAATTCACTGTCCAAAGTTTGAGTTTCACACCTCTAATTATCAGGCATATTAGAAAAAGCATCTACTTATAACCCATATAAAACACCATCAACTTCTACAACTTTCCTGTGCAGAGCCATGTTTCACACTGATGAAAGTGAGGAGCAAATCGGATTCAATGAAGGCTTTGTTTGAGTCTTTATGGTTCTACAAGAGTGGGACCAGTAGGGGTTTGTGTGTGCTGTTTTAAGACATAAACATTAAGCTACAAGCTGCTAATAACCTTGACATAACAGATGGAAATCAGTCTTTGCCTGTAGCCTGATGCTAACTGTTGATTTCAGTCGAGCACTACTTTATCTGGGGAGACAACATTCTGAGCAGGGACCATTTCTAAAAAGCAATGTAATCAGCATTGCAAAGATGATGCCAGCATGATTTTATTTAAATTTGAAACAGAGATGTGTTTGTTAATCCCTCTGGGCACAAAATCAAACACAGCTCATTGTAGTGACAAAGTGCCGTGCTACGCAATGCTGAGGCAGACATGTCCTTGCTTTAAAATCAAAACTAATGTCTTACACAGTGACTCCAATCCCAGCCTGGGAGCTCCTAGGAACTCACAAAATACATGTTTACCATAAAAGAATGTGAATCCTAATACTACCGAACCCGCTATTTACAAACTCTTAAAATCATGGCATCCATCTTAAATGTAGTTCTTTGGCCCTGCACTGTATTCAGAAAATAAGGTTTCAAGGGGTTAACAAGCCTGTTTTTTCTTAATATACTGCTCACACAGTTTCTGTTTCAGGTCACTCTGAGAGAATTCTCGGGTAGTCTTGCAGTATAAGCTCTCTGAGTGGGGCATGACGCACACTGACATATCATGCTGTATGGGCAGACTTGGAATATAGGCACCATGAGCAAGCCCAGGACACTGAAGTAGGCCATTCTTTCAGGACAGTACTCACGTGTAAGCAGTGTGAGAGTGAACATAAAATATACTGGCACACCAGACAGCATGGACAGGTCCTGTTTTTAGACAATGTGATCAAGCAAAGAACACAAAGATTTGTAAAGTGTGTAGTAGAATGATGAATGAAAAACTGAAATGCATTGTGTATTAAATGTAGTTCTTTGACCCTGCACTGTGTTCAGAAAATAAGGTTTCAAGAAATTAACAAATCTTAAGCCTGTTCTTTAATATATATATATATATATATATATATATATACAG